TTTCATCAAACCAATAAGTTAAAATGCTAATTCAACACAAAATAGTTTTGCACATAGAAGAAAAACTCCTGCAAAAGAACAGACTGTCTTCTGAGTCGTCCTGCGCGGAGGAAGCCAGCCAGGCTCGCCATGGCCATCTGCAGTCACTTCAGCAGCTTACTTTGGTACTATGGACTCGTTCCTTGCAGCCCAGCGAGGCGGTGAGTGCAGGAGGACGGGCTTCGGGGCTTCGGGAAGGCTGAGTAACAGCTGAGTAACGTTACCCGAATACTTCTGCAAAGTGAGCGTAGTCTTCGTCCCAGCTGAAGCTGTCGTCCAAGAGATGCACTATCAAGAGGAAACTGAACGTATACAGTTTTTCTTGCTGATTAGGGTTTTAATTTTGTTTTTATTGCTCCTGAAAAAATGCATTTATTGTAAGCCAAGGTTCCTCTGATTATCTTATTTTAATAAAATAAATTAAATTTTAGGTTTAAGATTCAATGTCATCATTTAATGTAGGAATCCTTTCAGCAGAGTCTGCTCGCCAAGCTATTGTGAATGATTATAAATAATAATCTTGAGATTTGAACTGCAGTGCTCTCTAAACATCATTTATCTCCCATTTTACCTTCTTTATAATAAGTTTAAGAAGTAGGGGGGGAAAAAAAAAAAGAGAAATAGTGTAAACTGCTTTTACTTTAGCTCTAATTTCGAAAAAGCAACCATTAACTCCTCATTTTTAAAACAGATCGTGTCTCTTGAAAATTTAAAATATTTCTGATAAATGGGTTTATTTTGACCAGCATGATGTCAAATTAGATGAAAGCCACTCAGTGAGGGCTTTAAAAGGTCTGAATTTCTAAGTCAGTTAAAACTTCTCTTGATGTTGTCCCTCAGTAGCTTTGAAAAACAAGTTACCTCTTTAATTTCAGCCTCCTGTTACCTGGTTTGTGTCTTCTTGGGGCAAAGTAAATCAGGAATGTCTTGTTTAAGGTAAAGAACATCCTCTCCTTGGGCTTTTTTTTTGAGTGATTTTATACATAGCACTACATCTTCATAATACTTTTATTTTCCTTCACCTTTGTCATTACACTAATGACCTACTAGAGGAAGACCTTCACTAGTGCCTTCATATGCTACACTTAAAATGAAGCTGACAAGTAAGTGGTTACAGACACTGACAAGCGAAGGCCTGGCTGAGCCAAGCTTTTGTAGAAACTGACTTCAGGGGGGAAATAACTAGAAAAATTCCATTTCCTAGGTCAGAAGAGAGCAAGATGTGCATGGCCCATGTGGGTGCACCACTGGCCAGCAGAGATGGGAGGAGTTCATCCTCTTCTCTCGAAACCTGGATAGAAATGCAGAATTTCCATCCAGAATGTTTCTCAGATGCAGTTTTGAGCCAAAAATGGCAACCAAGAGTTGAAGCAGGTAGTAAGTAGAGATTCTGGGACATGGTTTAGTGGTCATGGTGGTGTTGGGTTGATGGCTGGACTTGATAATCTTGGGGGTCTTTTCCAACCTTCATGACTCTGATTCTATAACCCCAGAGTCACTCCTTTTCGTGTGGTTTAAAACCATCTTGAGTTTCTGCTCCTCACTTTCTGACAGTGACCCAGGTCCTGGTGGCTGCCCATCAGAGCAGCACCCCAGGGGCTGTGCTGACATAAGGGGTCTTGCACAAGTGTCTCTAAATACACTTTGCCTCAAAAAACAAATGATTTCTTGTTTAAGAACTCGCCCTTTCTGCTGTGTTGGTGGCTTTAAGCAGCCTTCTTCATGCCACTGGTGACACTGGCCCTCTACTCTAAGGCCAGGATTAATAATTCCTTGCTTGAGGAACCCCAGCTCATCCTCACAGGGGCTGATGCTGAGTCATGTCCAGACTGCAGAGCTGCTACTCTGAACTTAGTAGAATTAACTTCACATAGAGAATTCCACAACCCAATTGCTTCTGCACAAAGCTTTTGCCAACACAAACAGGAGTTACATGTTTAACAACAGCAGAATTTGGTGACAATGGGGTTAACTCGGAAGCACGGTGCTGTAACATCTCCCACCTCCTGGGCTCCAGCTGGAGAAGGCCAAGGGGTGGCTGGAGATGATTGCCACGTGGGAGGTGCACAGAGATGGAAGCACAACTATCTGTCACTTGAGTTAGAAAAAGCAGCAGTTAAATAATTTCAGTTACAAAAGAGTTTTGTGTTATATAGTTGCAAAATACAAGATTGCTGCCATAAGGACATGAGAAAATTGCTTAGTTACTTTGCTTAATTTTGGGCTATTTCTCTTCAACTGGAAGGGAAACCTTGAGTTGGTTAAATACAATGAAACTGAACAAAAATGTAACTGTGCCTGTTGCAATAACTATTAGAAGTAACTCCTTACTCTCACAATACTGCTGTCAGGTTAATCAGGTTAAGCACCACTCAATCAATCACCCCAAGAGTCACCTCCTGCCTCTGCAGATGTGAATTATTTGAGAAGGACAGAAGGGAGTGACACAGGCTCTGGGAGCCAGGCAGGGTCCAGGTCCCACCACTGAACCCCAGTAAACCTCATTCTGCACTCTCGGTACTACTTTGAGGAATAAAGTTTTAGTTCTTACATCTTCTTTTCAAGGAATAAAAAGCTACACTCACCCTTCTCCCCAGTGTGTTTTTTTTTTTTTTATAGATACACATTTTATTTAGTTAAAAAAAAGCAACACCCAAAATAGATTTAACAAGTTTTTAACAGCTTCAACTTTAAATGTATTTACACCACTGCTCAGCTCACATGACAGCATCTACTTGGCCACAGAGAAACCGTCTTGGGACTAAGGGATTTTTTTTTTTTTTCATGCAATCAATTTAATTTTAAATATATTTTAGTACTTCTGTTGCCATACAAAAAAAACTATCTGAAAAACTTGACCAGGGCTGCACAAGTAAACCACAGGGCACGCTCATTCTGACTGTGCTGTAGGAGTTAAAAGCACAGCTAAATAAATAGCTGGGTTGCTGCAGGCAACAGCATCTTCAGTTCTCTTTATTGAGCAGCAGCGGAATCCTCCTCAGCCCCAGAAAGGTGCATGAAAAGTTCTCCCAGTTCTGTGACGTCGCTGTCTGTGCTGGGCACAGTCCTGTTTTCTCTGTCTTCAATAAAGTCCCACAGCCGAACGGAACTGAAGAACTGGAAGAGAAGAGATTATGGCTGAGCACCAACCATACCGGCCTCTTTTTGTTTATCAGTCTTACTTCTAAACCACAATAAAGTCAGACAGTGTGAAGCAGCAGCTGGGGTTTCCCAGCTGGTGTTGGTAAAGGGCCACCCCCTCTTTTCAGCTCTGCCCTTGCACCCAGGGCTGAAAACCAAACCATGGGAGGGGTTGCTGCAGCAGGTGACAGCACCAAGGGCAGAATTCCTCTGCAGAAATGTTTGCTGCAAGAAGGATCGGGTGAAGAAAATAAAATTACAATAAACTTTTGCTATCCAATGCAAGGTGCCTTCTCCTTTGTGTCAGAGAAAGTCGAGGGGTGCGTCCCTGCTTCTCCAAGGCTCCCAAGGAGCACCTGACACTCACAGTGTGGGTCTAGGCGCCCTCGGCCAGCACGTTCCCTTACCCGCACGGTCCCCTCCGAGCTCAGCTGCTTCCTGGGCTTTTCAGGTTCAGCTCGTGTCCCGTCTGGATAAGCGTGAAGGTAAAGGCACTTCCCTCCAAAGGGGCAAGTCCCTTTCCCTTGTTCAAAGTACTTGCAGGGCTTTTTTCTGGGGGAAGTAGAAAGAAGAGTTAGTGCCTTCAGCTGGTGCGGAAGGAGATGGAGTTAATGCACTCTCCACAGTTGCTCAGGTCCTCCTAGGTCAGTGGAGCACATCAAGAGGTTTGAGCTCATGTCCCTGTTGCTATATTTTCTCACCCACATTCCTCTCCTGTGTTTCCTACCACTATGACCCTGTTCCCCTCATCAGCTCCTTTGGACGTTCCGTGACAACACTTTGTGAATTTAACTTCCCATCAGCTTTGTGCTTCAGCCCAAGCTGCAGTTCTGGCTGTGTAGCTGATTTTTAGAAAGGTCGCTTACAAAGGCAGGACAGCAGCGCTCGGGGTGGGGGGCAGGTGGAGGGTCTGCAACCAGAAACAGCTAAAGAGGAAACCACAGCGGAAGGAAGAATAAAAGGCACGCAGCCACGTTGTATTTTTATCCCCTATTTCTAGAGACTATGACATTTTCCTCCCCTCAGTAGCTGACAGCCTGCCAGGCAGTTACGTCTTGGGGATCAACGAAAAACACACGATGCCGATTTTGGCAAGTGGCCTGAAATAGCTTCAACATTTCAGAGCACAGTGAATCTGTTGGAATAATTGATGCTATCTGAATAATTTCTGCCCTGTAATTACACAGCAGACCCTTTTGGGGCAGTCACAAAGTTAAACAGAAGTGTCACGAGAGACGAAGAGCAGTGACCGAACGGTTTGTGATTCCACAAAGTATAAAAATAACAGGCACTTGGACTGACTGTGGCGCAGCGTGTCCATCTCAAGGGACACGCAAACAGCCTCTGTGGCTGCAGCCCTCACCCCACTCCCTGCTTGAATGCCTCGATCAGCTCGTTTTTCTTCTCCTGGTCTTCTACCCAGTAGGCGCTGGGAATGACGAACTCGGATATCACACGGCACTCCGGGCAGGACCTGAGCGGGCGAGAGGCGAGAGCGAAGTTCCCTCACTGCCCTCGTGAGACTGCAGCAGGGGCACCAGGAGCAGCAGCCTCCCGAGGGAAGGGCTGACAGCCTGGCACACGAAGCAGCAGAGGAACTAAGGACAAGAATTAAATGTCCAACCTCAGGTAGCTCAGGAAGCCCAGGAAAGGTTTTATTCCAGCCCCTCCTCCCCGCCCCCCAGGCCCTGCCCGCAACTCTGGCAGAACAAGCCAAAACCTCTACATCAACTCCACGACAACCAGTGTCTTCATCATTATGGAGAAAGTGAAAAACCATGTTGGAAGACTCTGTATTAGTATTGAATCCATACTCAAAGCAGACTGCACGCATTGCTTCTGAAAAAAAAAATAACCCTCACAGTCCCTGCTGCTGCACCCGCCCAACAGAAGCTGGACTCCAACAGAGGTTACGTCCTCAGCAGCTAATGTTCACTTTGATGAATTCATAATGGAAGTTATGCAGAAAAGGCTGTTTTGGCAGAAGACTGAAAATATTTCCCAGCTTTTCCTCAGCATGCTTGTAACTTCAGGGATTTTTCAAGGAGCTGCTCAAAAAAATTGAAATTGCCTTCACTGGGTGTTTTAAAGTCTCTCATCTGAGGAGGAGCATGCTGGGAATACAGCTTCTATAGAGGTAGAAGGTGAAGGGATTTACTCAGAAATAGATGTCTGACTAGTGGGATAACTGGCTGGAGTGAGCTGCAATGTAGAGAAGAGCCCTGTACGTCAGCACCTGAAGGGGCTGCTGGGTTTGCACACAGGCCCCGTGCAGGGCTCGGGCTCGCAAGGTCTCGGCTCCCCCAAAGCTGAGCTCGCCCCAGGCGGGCTGCAGCACCTCGGGACACGGCTCCCAGGACACCCGCAGCGCCCTGCTGCTCCCGAGCGTGGTTCTCATAGCTGCGCCCCAGCATTCCGGGATTTGCCAGCACCCGGGCCGGGACTCTCCCAGCTCGGATGTTGCTAACGGCTCTGTCAGGGCGCACGGGTATGGAACCCTTGGCGGGCGGTTCTGCCCCGCGCCGAGTCCGAGCCCGCTGGAGACCCCGTCCCACCACGGCCCCTGAGGGGGACTCTGCTCAGCACCCACTCACTTGATGATGGGGTTCTCGAACTGCTTGGCGCACCGCCACTGCCGGATGCAGGACAGGCAGTACGTGTGGTTGCAGTTGGAAAGGATCCCAAACCTCCGCTCGGAGGCCGACGGCTTCTCATAGACCACCTCCATGCAGATGCTGCACACTTTGTCCTGACTCGCCTGGAAGGCAAAGGCCTTCTCCATGTCGTGCTCAAAGGTGGCCATGCACATCTGTCCGGGAGAGATGTCACCGTTTACTGCAGCCCCCATGGCTCAAGAAACACGAGTGTCTGCAGACAGGACCCACGGGCAAACCGAGGGGTGCTGACTAAGAGCATCCCTCCTGCCCTTCATCGTCATCATTTCATTTTAAGAACATTAAATTCTATTGCACATTTCTGCCCTTCAATGTTCTCCGCAGCTTCAGGAGAACCAGAGTAAGGCTGCCCAACTGCTCTTAGGAATCACAGGCTGGTTTGGGCGGGAAGGGACCTTTCAAGGTCATCTCATCCGACCTCCCTGCACTAAGCAGAGACATCTGCAGCTAGAGCAGGTTGCTCAGAACCCTGGCCAACCTCACCTGGGATGGTTCCAGGGGTGGGCATTGACCACCTCTCTGGGCAACCTGGTACAGGGGCTCATCAACCTCAGTGTAAAAAATTTCTTCCTTCTCTCTAGCCTAAATCTCCCTCTTTTAGTTTGAAACCATGGTCCCTTGTCCTGTCCCAACAGGCCCTGCTAAAAGGATTGTCCCCAGCTTCTCCGAACTGCCAGTTTTCTGTACGTCTGTCATGGAACAGGTATTGCACAAGGAGAAGCCCCAAACACCCTAAACCATCTAATTCAGGGTCCAGAAGGAGCCACACACAGCCACAGGACAGACGCTTCACCCTAGCTGAGGGATCAGTTTCTCCTTGCAGGCCTCCTGCACCACGGTGTCCCAGTAGTGACACCAGTAACCAAGTGACAGTCCCACAGCACTACCAGGAGAGCTGGTGGTTAAAGCCTTGAGAACTTGTGTGCCTGACCAGCCCTGACCCAACTCTGGTGGCCAGGCAGAGAGCTGAGCAGCCCTTTGAGCCCATCTTTCCCCAACGATCCCTGGTCTGGTCCCTCCAGACATCCTACTTCGAGTTCAGCTCCAAAATCTTTGTACTCTGCTCTGTCCATTCTTTCTGGACCCTGCCTTAAAATCAGCCACGAGCAAGAGGGGACACCTGAGGAGGTGTGGCAACAGAGCAGCAGGGCCACCTCAGAACACGCCAGCAGCCCACGACTCCTCTCTCCACGCTGCACACAACTCGTGACTGAGACACTGTGTGAGCTACAAAGGACATTTTTTCCCCGTAGAGTCTGAGGGTGTTCTCAGAGAAGGCTGCAGACAAGTTTCTGGTAAGGATGAAATGGGGGAAAAAAAGAATCCTAGAATTGTTTTGGTGGAAGAGACCTTCAAGATCATCGAGTCTGACCACTACCCCATCACTGCCAGGTCCCCACTGACCCATGTCCCTCAGCACCACATCTCAACAGCTTGGAAACCCCTCCAGGGATGAGGACTCCACCATTGCCCTGGGCAGCCTGGCACAGCCCTGCACAATCCTTGCTGGGAAACCTTTCTCTTAATATCCAACCTAAAACTTCCCTGGTGCAACTTGAGCCTGTTGTTTCCCCCTGTCCTGTTGCCTGTTCCCTGGGAGAAGAGCCCGACCCCCACCTGGCTGCAGCCTCCAGTCAGGGAGCTGTGGAGAGCTGGGTCTCCCCTGATCCTTCTCCAGGCTCAGCACCCCCAGGTCCCTCAGATGCTCCTCTCCAGAGTTGGGCTCCAGGCCCCTCTGGAAGCTGTTGTAAAAGTCTCTCTGCACCATCACTACTGATTAAGCCCCTTGAGCAGACAACTCTTAGAATCATTTTACAGATAAACAACACCCCGAAAGCTCTTTGGAACAACAGGCCCATCTCCACAACACGCCTTTGAATTTCAGAGCACACAACCCCAACCTCGCTCCGAGCGAGGCGAGTCGCGCCCGGACTTCACGCCAACGCAGTTACCATCTCATGAGCCTTCCTCTGCTCCTGGTCGAAAGGGTGAAGCACTTGGAGGCCGCAGATCTCGCAGAGGTCCCCGTGGAGGTAGAGGCAGCGCTCCCCGAAGTGGCAGGCTCCCGCCGCGGCATAGGGGCAGAGCTGCTCACCGCCCCCGCCAGCCCGCTGCAGATGGCTTCCAGGTAGGAGTGGGGCTTCGCCTCCAGGCTCTCGCCCTGCTCCCCGCAGCACGCCACGTCGCTCGGCGCCCCGGCCGTCTGTTGCTCTTCATTCAGGCCACACAGGTCTCGGGGAACAGAAACGTCATGTGAGACACACGAGAAACCTGCACAGGCAGCTCCCTGTATTTTATTTCTAATGGTTACCATTTTTCTTTGCTTTTTAAAAAAAGTCTTCTTCTCAGGGAGGTCTCACCTCTAAGCCCCTCTTGCTCACAGCTCACAAGAACTCTCGCTATCTAACTACTGAAAAGTTCCATTTCAGGATCCCTTCAGCTGTTTTCTGTTACAAACAGTCGGGGTGGGGGCCTGGCTGGTGCGAGGCGAGATCGGGTGGAACAGCCTGTGGGCCATCAGGGCTCAGACATTTTAACCAACAGTCTGGGTTGGGTGGGCAGGAACCATCTAGCCCAGCCCCCTGCACCAAGCAGGGACATCCCCAGCTAGAGCGGGTTGCTCAGAGCCCCATCAAGCCTGACCTTGAATGTCTCCAGGGGTGGAGCCTTCACCACCTCTCTGAGGAGCCTGTGCCAGTCTCACTCCCCTCACAGGACAGAGCTTCCTCCTCACAGCTAATCTAAATCTCCCCTGCTAGAGCTTAAAACCATTGCGCCTCATCCTGTGGCTACACCCCCCTGTAATCAGTCCTTCCCCAGCTTTCCTTCAGGTACTGGACG